TGGGGGGTGGGGGGGACAACACTTCTCACCTGCTGGGAGAATGCTCAAACCTCTCCCCTACCCAGCCCCAAAGAAGAACTACCTCCTGAGCTGGGAGGAGCCTCACACCACAACTCAGCGACAGCAGCCAACCGCTCAACGGGCCCCAAGCCCTTTTACACATTGCTGCTTGCATCCAGGCATCCTCATTGGCTCCCAAGGCCCTCGGGACGCTTGTGGGAAAAACCCAGAGGTCTCTAGTGTTTCAGGTGGGGAAGGGAGTGAGCCAGGTGACTTCCTGGAGGAGGTGGCTCTGGGCTTTGAGATATTGATTGCTACCTCCTTTCTTCCCCCCAGACTGGGCACTAGGAGGTGGCCCCAGGGTCAAAGGCAGGCTTGGGGGTGAGGGAAAGCAGGAACCTGGGGTCTGGAGAGGACCCCGGACTTCCTCCCCTTGCAGTTGTTAGAATTTACATTTGCATTTGCTAATGGTGCTGGTTAGGGACCAATTCTGAGAACCACTAGTAGAGCAGTGATTCTCAAATTTATTATATATAAGAATCACCTGGGGATCTTGTTAAACTGTAGATTCTGATCCAGTATATCTGGGGTGGAAATGCAAATTCTCAACAGAGGTTCGAACCGGAATGAACTGGTTTGAAGCCTTGCTTTCATGTTCTGGCAGCCATTCAGGGGTGTGTATCCGAGGTGGGGGGGAGATGGAGAGAGGGTGTGGGGACTCAAACTCTTGACATATCTGCCTCCTGGGTCATCCTGAGCATCATGAACCATCTGTCTCCAGCAGACAGCACAGAGCCTGACCCGTGGTAAACCTTACTGAATTTATTGAGTGAATGAATAATGGCCAAGAGAAAACTGCTTACCATCTTCCAGGCCCTGACCTTAAGCACTGTAGGCACCATCTCCTTTATGTTACTACTCCATGGACAATGAGGAGACTGAGGGTCAGAGAGGTCTGCTCAGGTTTTACTGTCTAGTGACTGAATCGCAGAGAGCGGCTATCATTCACCCCCTTTTGGAGAGATGAAACTGAAGGCAGGAGCAGGACCACCTGTTAGAAAGAGCAGAACTATTAGCAGAGACAGAAAGGGCCACATAAACCAGAGACTTCATCAGCCTGAGACCAGAAGAACTAGATGGAGCCCAGCTACCACCAATGACCACCCTGACAGGGAACACAACAGAGAGTCCCTGATGGAGCAGGAGAAAAGTGGCGTGCAGGACTCAAATTCTAGTAAAAAGACCAGACTTAATGGTCTGACTGAGACTGGAGGAACCCCAGAAAGCATGGCCCCTGGTCTCTCTGTCAACCCAGAACTAAAACCATTCCCGAGGCCAACTCTTCAGACAAAGATTAGACTGGACTATGGAACATAAAAGGATACTCGTGAAGAGTGTGCTTCTTAGCTCAAGTAGATACATGAGACTAAATGGGCAGCTCCTGTCCGGAGGTGAGATGAGAAGGCAGAGAGGGTCAGGAGCTGGTTGAACAGACATGGAGAATCAGGGGTGGAAAAGAGGAGAGTGCTGTCACAGTATAGGGAGAGCAATTAGGGTCACATCACAATGTGTAATTTTTGTACGAGACCCTAACTTGAAATGTAAACTTTCACTTAAACTACAACAATAAACCAAAAAAAAAGAGCAGAACTAGGAATGGAATGCAAGTTGTTCCCCGACTGAAGAATCTTAGCTGGAGCCTAGCTTTGCCTCTCCGTGAGTGAGCGACTGAGGAAAGGACTGAAGGTACTGACTCCGGCCCCACCCCCACTCATCTCTGTGGTCCCAGCACCCAGCACAGGGTTGTTGAATGAGTAGGCTCAGACCTCGGGGGAAGTGTAGCAGTAAGTTGAGCTGGAGAGGGTCTATCTCCCCATGGGGAAGGGCGGCCTTCAGGGTTGAGGGTCAGAGCTATTGGACTGTAATCTGAGGGCAGTACAGTGCCTGCATCCTCCAGAGGTTCTAGAATAATCCACACATTCGTTCCTGAGGGCCAGGTACTGTGCCTGGAAACCAGCCTGATGCGGAGAAAGTTTCCAGAAAGTACAGACATTTGAGACAGGCAGGATTAGAAGCCTGGCTCTGCCGCTTGCCTTGGATGGGTCCCTCAGCCCCTCCCTCTGAAGCTCGGCTTCCACCTACCTTTTGGTATTGCCAAGTTCAAAGAGATAAAACACCACCTCCATACATTATAAATAGTGATGATGCTGATAATGTTGTTGTCGTTAGCTGTCATGGAGTCAGCCCTGACACATGGCGACCCCATGAACGACTAAAGGAAATGCTGCCCGTCCTGCACCATCCCCATGATCCGTTGCAGATCAGACCATTGTGATACATAGCATTTTCATTGGCTGATTTTCGGAAGTAGGTTGCCAGGCCTTTCTTTGTAGATGCTGATAATGTTACTGTTAGTTGCTGTTGAGTGGATTCTGACTCATGGTGATCCTATCTGTTTCTGTGCCCGGTAAGGTTTTTAAGACTATGACCTTTTGGAAGCAGATCGCCAGGCCTTATTTCTGAGGTGCCTCTGGGTGGGTCTGAACTGCCAACTTTTCTGAGTACCATTGAGTCCACCCAGGGACTCCTTTGATGCTGATAATAACCACCCCCCCCAAAAAAAACTAAACCCATTGCTAAACTGATTCCAACTCATAGCAACCCTATAAGACAAAGTAGAACTTCCCCATAGGGTTTCCAAGGAGCAGCTGGTGAATTCGAACTGCCAGCCTTTTGATGACAAGTTGAGCTCTTAATCTCTGCACCACCAGGACTCCGATGCTGGTAATAAATAAAAAGAAATTAAACCCATTGCTGTCAAGTTGATTCCGACTCATAGTGACCCTATAGGACGGAGTAGAACTTCACCATAGAGTTTCCAAGGAGCGCCTGGTGGATTTGAACTGCCGACCTTTTGGTTAGCAGCTGTAGCTCTTAACCACCTCGCCAGTAATAGATTCTTTAAAACTTAAGGCAAAATAGAAACACATGGGGGCGCTGTAACCACAAACCACAGAGAAAAATGTTAAAACCAGGGCAAGTTTCTGGGGAGTTGATTGGGGGTATGTCATTCCAACACTTTCCTTTTACATGGACCAGTTCTGGTCCTTCCCCTTAGAATACAGGTGGTAGTAGAGAAAATTTTGTGAGTGGGTGGTTGGATAATATATCTAATTTCAGTTTCATCTAAACTTTGCTTTTCACAAATTATTTCGCATTTGGGAGGGGAGTTAACAGAATTTCATGGCTATAACGCCCATAAATTCATAAAAGGAAAAGTGAGGCCCTAGTTATGGCCTTACAGGTCATGCTTCTGGGAGTATCTGTGGAGTGTTGGGAAAAAAAACTGGTTTTGGATCCAAAGATCAGGCTTCAAGTCCTAGCCCCACCACTTCCTGGCTGTGTGATCTTGGGCAGGTCACTTCACCTCTCTGAACCTTATCTTATCAGTGAGAGAGGGAGGATGATAGCTGTTCTCACAAGATTATTGCCATGGTCAGCTGTAAAAGGGCTTTGTAAACTGTAAAGTACTGTAAGAATGTCCTCAACTGGTATTGGTGTATGGAAATATATAGATAGGTGACTAATAAATGGACTCATTATTTGCCCTTATTTGACACCCAGGATCCCTGTTGTTAGGTGCCATCAAGTTGATTTTGCCTCATATCGACCCCACGTAAACTGCCCCATAGGGTTTTCTAGGCTGTAATCTCTATGGGAGCAGATCGCCAGGTCTTTCTCCAGCAGAGCCGGAGAATGTGGGTTCAAACCTCCAACCTTTTGGTTAGCAGCTGAGTGCTTAACTGTTTGCGGCACCCAGGTCTCCTTCCCAATCTACATAGCAGGTCAGAAATTTCTTTTTACCTCTCAAGAGGTCTTTGTGGTATATGTTGGTTTTGAAAACACAGGGATAGGCTTTTTGCCAAATGAAGTTGATAATGGCTTAACTGTCCCCTAAAGTCCCTCTCTGCACCAGTCTGTCATAGTGCCAGAAATTCCACCGTTAGTAATTTGCTACTTAGTTTCCTTTTTTAAAACACCACCAACTATTCCCTCTTCTTTCTTCCTTTCCTCTTTCCAAAGGGTTTTTCCTGCTGGTTTCCTGATTCCTCAAATTCCATTTTTGGGCATTTTGATTTGGCCTAACTCTTGAGCCCCCAGCTAAAACGGCTTCTAGCTCTGAGAAAAGCCAGTATCTGCAACTCTATTAGACTCTCCAGTCTCCAGGGAAGGGATCATGGCTCAGTCACCTTTGTATCCTCCAGGGCCTAGCAAAGGGCCTGGCAGTTGGTAGGTCTTCAGTGAATGCTTGAGGAATTGGCGAGTTTTGTCCAGAATCAGACTAAAGCATCTTTCCATCAGGCCTGCAGCTGGGAATGAAGTAAGAAGATATAAAACAGGGAGGTCATGCTCAATCTGTCACTGACCAGATATCAGAGCTTCACAGGTCTGTCTGCTTTTTTTTTTTAACCTAACACTAAAATTTGGATTCGAAAAAAAATTATTAAAACAACACAAGCACAATATAGAGGTTACAGAAAAACAGAAAGAAGAAAACCAAATTATTCAGACTCCTACTACCACCCACACACTATCACAGCTAAATTAGCGTATTTCTTTCATATTTTTTTCTTTAAAAAAATTCAATTTTTTTTTCAGATTATAAAAGTAATATACATAGGAACGTAAAATGGTCTAGCCACTCTGGAAAATAGTTTGGCAGTTTCTTATAGAACTGCACTTACCAT